TTCTCCCTGAGGCCAATAGCAGATCACAGTGGTTTAAATAAACAAATGTGGCCACTCATTTTCAAGCGATCAGTTATATTTAAGTTGTAAAACAGACACAATCCGTCCAAAGTATACTGCAAGATGGCGGAGTGGGTATATCAGCAGGAGTTAACTAAGTGCGTTATAGATAAGAACCGGAAGTAAAATCAGAAATGGCCGTTCTCCTCCCGCTGGCGAAAGGAATTCTATTTTCTTGGTGAACTTATCCAGATAACTCAGCAATCCGGCTTAGCGATATACTCTCCAGGTGTATGTATACGATGTTAATGTACTGGGTATTCACTGGAGTTACAAATGGATAAATTTAGCCTCGCTATGGGTAGTGCAAGAATTCCAACCGTGGACTAAAGCCTTTGAACTAGCTAACTGCTATCCGAAAGCACTGAATATGCTATTTTCCACTTGGAGATCAAGCCTTATTATCTAATGTACCCCTGCTGATACTAAATGATCTTATCGTCCCAGACAATATGTTTTCCCAACTGATAAGAGATTTTTTTTTTTCTATTTGGAACTCACTTTCTCACTAAAATCAACCTGAGTGTCAATGATTTCACATCGACTGATTGCAGTAAAACTCTATCTGTGAGCCAAGTTAATTATCACCAAATTGAAAAAAATCTCCCAAAAGATTTAGTTAAATCATGCAAAGGAAGCCTGAAAGCAAAATATGCAATTTTATCGTCACGTTCACTGAGGCGCGAAACGGTAAGTCGGTCGAGTGCATATATTTTTACATGTTGTGACTGTTCTTCGAATGAATTACCAGGCAGCAAGCACCACACATGCCACCACACAGAGACACACACGCACACTCATGAAGCCATATCAATAACAACAGCGTGACACAATATGCTCCAATATAAAAAAAATAAATAAAAAGGATGATATTAAAAAAATACACAAACACGCACACACACACACACACACACACACACACACAATATAGAACTTAATAAGCGAATAGTAATGCGTTTATTTTATTTCATTTATAACAGACAGTTTCGCAAGTCTGGCATTCAGCAAAAAAAAAGTTGGTGAAAAAAAAAACTGAAACAAACATTTACATCAAAAGTCAAAGTCAAGGATAAATGCTTATTGAATAGTGCCTGAACTATCAATCATATTTCTCATTTGCAAACTTTCCCAGAAGGAATTTTTTGTCAGTACTCTTGCCAGCATCAGTGTGAGGACAATGAATTGAGAATGAAAAGCCAATCTTAGGTTCTCTGATTGTGTAGGTAAGTTACAGGAATCAGGGCTGGAGACTCAGAGCACCCTATAGTCCAAGTCGGCAGCCGAGGAATCCAATCCAGCAGATAATTAGAGGGGCAGGGGCACAGAGTCAGCTCTAATGACACATTAATTGCCTTTTCCCTGCATCGATACTGTACAGATCTTGGAAAGGGCTTTGGGCTCACTTTCTGATGGGTCAGACATTTGCATTTATAGCTGAGCAGGTGCTTTAGGCTTGCTGCTATTTATACAATTCCAGGTGTGTAGTGGTGGGGTATCACTGATGGGGGCGGAGGTTTAAATTGGCTAAATAACAGCTGAACAGTGAATCTGCTATTTGCGAAGTTCAATACTTCTAACCTCCATCTTTAATATCCATAACTTCTGTTGGGTGAGTGTGTGTGTGTGTGTGTGTGTGTGTGTGTGTGGGGGGGGCATCGCATGCCTTATGTGACTGTCTCACAAAGAGGAGGATGGCATTGCTGATACAAATAGTTTTAGGCACGCAGCCTGTACAATATATATCACCTCAGTCGAATCAGACGTCCTTTAAAATGTCAATGCAGCTTTTTAAATCCTATTTTTTGATGCGCTATTTACATATTTATTAATGTCATATATGTACCATTTGTACAGTGAACATGTTTAAACAACTAAACATATGAACCCTGAGGAACACAGTAACACAAATTGTCGCTGGCTCATTCACTCAGACACACGCGTGTACATACATACAGCAGTTCTATTCCTCTATAATGTACAGATATACGGCAACAACAAACAGGCGGTGAACAAGAAGGCTATTGGTGCTGAAGCTGTTGTTATCATTTGCTGTTGATTTCAGGCATTTTCACCCCAGTTCTGGCGCTGAAGTCAGCTAGGTGAATGCTGATGGCTTAATGGAACATAATGGGATAAATGACAGCCTGTTTTGTGAAATTAGTGAAGAAAAAATGGTCTATGGTCCAGTAAGAGACATCACTGCCTCAAAACATTATTTTGCAGATGATTTTACTGTGTTTACCGTTCAAGACTCTACCAAACACATTCATGTTATAGAGAGACATACTGTAGAGAACGCAGCAATACACACAGACATACACGTACGCACACACGCACACATGGGCGCGCGCACACACAGACAGATGCACGTACACGCATATTCCTGAATGTAATTAACTCACAAACTCACACAAATCACACTCCAAGTGCCCCTACTGCTTCAAGAGTAGAAATATATCCTAATCTATAAAAAGCTTTGCCCTCCTATGAAAGATACAATGAACTGCTTCTTTGGTCTGAAAAATGAAAGGGTAGAGGAGTTACAAAATTATGAACATATTTTTGTTTATCGGACAAAAGCTCATTATTTGTGATAGATCTCTCGCGCTGAGCACAACACTTTACATGCTTGCTGCACTGAACAACGTCTCTGAAAGTGAGGCATTAGTGTGACCGTGCTCACGCACTCGCGTTTAATGAACAACTCCTACTTGGCAAGAGGACTTAATGAGTAAACATGTCCCTAAGTTCGGCTTTTTCAACCATTTTTTCATCAGCAGGGTTCACCCTGTTTGTTGTACCTGACGCCGTGTTCGCGCGGAGCGGGGATAAAGTGTTCAGCTGCGTTTGCACGTCCATACATATATCCCACTCTGATGTTAACGTGATACTTAAAGAACCAGTTGATGGAATTTCTTCAAATTTGGTAGCAAGGTGTGTTGGAGGAATGTGCAGACCTCAGTCAATTTTTGTGACCTTGACCTGATTTTCAAGGTCGCTGAAAGGGATTGACCACTCCTAACCACACTCATGGTGCATTATCTCAAGAACATTTTTTATAACATGAATTAAGTTGATGATACGCAAATGCCAATAAATTATAGTGACCTTCACTTAATTCTCATGGTCATCACAGGTTAAACGATCATTTCTAATTCTATTATTAACAACATATCTCAAGAACCATGACACAGATATGACTCATATTTGGTACCTTGGTCTGATAGGCAGCCCCCATTGGAGCCCCACGACATGCATTTGTAATCAGGCTTTTGCTATGATATCTCAAACTCCACTGATGGATTCCTTTCATTTTTTATAACATTGTAGCAGCAAGACATCCATTTTGTCTTTGCGGCAGGGGACATAGTCACATTTGTGACAAATACTTGTTTATTTTTGGTTTAAAAGCACAGGAGCCAGTATCATGAGGCACAATTTCTGTGTTTTTGGATGACTGCATTCAGCATAATCCAGAACAATCCCAAATCAAGAACATGGACTGAAGTAAAAAAGATTTTCTTTCAATTACAGTCAAGTGATGTAACCCTTTAAAAATTTTTTTAATGAGGTTTTTTTCTTTTTCCCAATTCTTCCCTGTTCTAGAACTCAATCGGTTTGATGAGTAGATTTTTTTTTTTTGGGAATATTTAGCCAACAGTTTACTCCATTGTTCTTAGACCTCAATTGCTTTGAGTTATCAGTGGATTGTGACATCGGTATTCAAATGTTCCCGCATGTATTTGCGATCATACTCCTGAAAGGACTCCTGTTCATAGTATACGCTCAGTGAGTCCTAATTAGTGGCTTTTGCAAAATATTCAGAGAAAAAGATTACTCAGCGATGGAATCATTGTGCCAAATATAAATGAATGACTCAATGTGAGCCATTCCTTGTAAACATCAGGATGCTGAACCACAGGCTCTCCTGGATTGTATTTATTCATTTGTTTATTTTTATTTTGTATTTTATTTGAGGTGCTGAAGTTTAGCCTCCTGGAGTAATCACAGAATGACATAAATGACTATACATGCTTCTCATGAGGTCCAACCATTCCCCAAATCGCAAAGCAAAATAACAGCGCAAAAACGACTCACTAATGTTTCTTTCAACCAGCAGTGCTGCAATTATCCATAAACATGTACTTTTACTTTTAGATACTGCAATACCAGTGCATTACTAAAATCCCAAATTGAATTTGTTAGGAAATGCACCATAATTTAAAACCCAGATGCTCAGAGTCAAAAAGAATTTTTTTTTTTTTAAAGCTGATGGTGCTTGTTATAGCGCTCCATCTGCTTCACAATCAGAGCCATTAATGTCCTCTGTCTAATGCAGAAGAATGTGCTTCTTTGTCCTCAGAAGACATAATTCTCTCGTACTGTGCTGCCAGTGTAATACCCCAGTGAATCGCTGCATCGGCGTTCTTAGAGGAAAATGACTTACTAAAAGAGACACATGAAACAGGTGGTGTGAGACAGCTTTTTGAAGTTCTTCCGATTAAAAGAATTCATTTACCATTTACTTCTGTACTATAAAGATAGGCCATTTTTACCAGAACATTGCAAAACAGTTGGGTGGGGTATTCAAAATGAGTTCAGCTATTTGCAAGCCCTGGAGTGTACATGTACAGTACATACATGCCTCTGTATATGTATGAGTTTTCTCATGTAGAATCACCCTCTCCTTTAGGAAGCATGTGAGAGTGCGTGAGTGTGTTGTTTCAATGATGTGTTTCAGATTCCATATTGTGTATTCATCGGTATAAAATGGTAAATGAACTGCATTTATACAGTGCTTTTCCAGTCACATGACAAAGCGCTTTGCAATTATGCCTCTCCTTCACCCTGATGGCAAAGGCTGCCATTCAAGGCACCAACCAGCACATTAGGAGCAGTTCGGGGTTCAGTCTTGCTCAAGGACACTTCGAAACATTCTCTGGAAGAGCCGGGAATTGAACCAGGAACCCTCTGATTCCCAGACCACTTGCTCTACCACCTGAGCCATGCCGCCCATGTTTTGGGCTGGTGAAGAATAAGTGTAAACGATACACAGCGTGGTGAGGAGTATTTCTGCATATTTGTCACAGATATTTGTTTCAGGTCTTTCAATCTGAGACAAAGACAACCTGAATGAAAAAAAAATACAGCTCAAAATAATCATTTGATATGCTGAAACAAAAAGCTATCGTAACACCAACTGGCCCTGAGTGCACAAGTGATTGCCCCCTTAGTTACTCAGTAAGCCACTTACACTCGTTACTTGATAATTGGATTAAGTCAGAAAAAAACATGCTCAAGATTGCCTACTGCAAGCCCCTTTGAATCTGAACATCAGATAAATCTATCCAGCAATGTGATATAAGTTATAATATCTCACCAAGCACCAGTTTATACCACAATACCTGAAAACATGAGAAAGATAGTAATTGGAATATATCAGACAAGGAGGGGCTGCAAGACAATTTCTTAGGCGCTGAGACTCCAGCGACCCACAGTGGGAGCTATTATCTCCAAATCGAGAAAACATAGAACAGAGGGTAATCTTCGAAGGAATGGGTCGGCTCACCAAAGAATGCGTCAACACCTGATCAAAAGAAATCACAGAAGAACCCCGACAAATGCATAAGGAACTGCAGGCCTCGCTCAGCAAAGATGTGGTCAGGACAAATGTGCGAAAATAGAGGAAATCAGAGGAAATGCTACATACAGACTTCTAGAAACTAGAAAGTCAGTGGCACGCTAGTTGACATATACCCCCGGACCCCGTAAAGTAATCACTCCCAGAATCGACAGGCTTCGCAACCTTACCACACACAAGGTCTAAGCCAAACACAAAACGAATTGGTTGAAATTTGTGGCCTGTAGACCTCTCACAGGAAAATCTCTACAGACTGACGCAGCGTGACGATTGCTGAGCCATAATATCTCGACTCATTGTCAGGGGATACAATTAACATACATGCACCAATTACGGCAAAATATGGACATGGACAAACATACGCATACAAATGTACACACATCATATCGAACACACCTACACACTCTACGAGCAAACACAGCCAGATGCACGCATACACATCATTGACTTTGTTGTTATGCATAACAGAATGCGCGGTATGGAATCCATAGCCATTTTGCAAGCTCTTATCTCTCTGGCCCATTGAAGTGACCTCTGTTATCTATGCATGTTTGCGCGCCTCAGGCATCTCCTCGATATCACCGCCAGCAGTCTTTACCAAGGGCATTTCAGCAGGCTTTAGCAAAGTCAATGGTGCACCTTCCAAATCACCTCCTTTAAATCACAGGTAATGGCCTAAGGAGAGGCGGCAATCTGGGACTTAGACAATAGGCAAGGGAGAGCAATTACCTTGGAGCTGATAATTGTCCTTAACCTTTTTTTAAAGCAGATTTTTAAATACACATTCCTTTCCTCCATCGCCTGGGTATTGCGAGTACCCGAGAGATAGGCGCCATAACATCTGGTGGCAATTCCGGAGAGCGCAAAAAATGGAGTCTCCTGGCCTTTTTTTTTTTTTTTTTTTTTTTTCTCCGATGGGGCTTACACAATTACTGCAGGCAGAGCAGGAATGTGTAACCAAGAACCAAGAGAGGGGGTTGCTCCCTATGGCCAGAGTGCTAACCAAACCATAGACACCCCCCCCCCCCCCCAAACTCTACTTCCAACTCACCCCAAGTGACAGAAGGTATTGGCACGACCAAGCTGAGGGTCTGGACTGTAGGGACCCTCTGCCTTACGAGAATTCGATGATTTAACAGAGCGTGATAACCCAGAACCGTTTTCGTGTTGTACAAGGGAAAAAAAAAATTAAAATCACCCAACAGCGGCTAATCACCATTTACAAATTCATCTGCCAGTCTTGTAGCGTAAATGTTGCCAGAATTTCAAATCATGTTATTCAAATTAAACAAATCTATTTGCTCCACACAGATATCAGAGAATTATTACACGAAAACCAAAGCCTTATTTATTTACACGGCAGATAATATATAAACACAAATACTGATCCGGGAAGAAAGCTATAAACCAAAGACGGCCAGGCAAACAACGTGTGAGGCTTCAATATTTATCACGAGGTGTTACACATAAATGTGCTGTCAGATATTTTGAGTTATGCACTGATATGACCCTTTCTCATTTGTCAAAGCATGACACAGACCCTGTCTTGTCCCTGCCCCGGTCAGACAGCTTTATACAGAGGGCAGTTAACTGGTGCCAATTAATCTTCCTGCGTGGCGGCGAATCAATAGCGGTATGAGACGTAGCGGTCAAGCTTGACTCACCCATTACCGCCAGGGCCGTGGCCTTCGTCAAGCGCGCCTTCATGGATTCTATCACCTCCAGACTGCTGCCGTCCAGGCTGCATCTGTTGATGGTTCCATTGCCAGAGCTGATCCAGTAGAGCTTGTTCATGGGGTAGTCTATCGACAGGCCTGGAGTGGGAAAGAGGAGTTATAAGAATCGTTGGCCAAAAACGCACACATGCAGGCATGCATTCTCTCTCTCTCTCTCTCTCTCTCTCTCTCTCTCTCTCTCTCTCACACACACTTGTGCCCGGACACATGCACACACACGCACACATACACACATGCCTGTGCACTGACACACACGCACACACAAAACCATACACACGAACACACAAACACAGACATACTGACACACACACACGCGCGCGCGCGCAAACACACAAACATACACGCATGCCTGTGTGCTGACACACACGCACACACAAGACCACACACACACACACACGGACACACAAACACAGGCATACTGACACGCACACGCGCGCGCGCGCAAACACACAAACATACACGCATGCCTGTGTGCTGACACGCACGCACACACAAGACCACACACACACACACGGACACACAAACACAGGCATACTCACACACACGCGCAGCGCGCGCAAACGCACAAACATGCACAAATACACACACATACACACACATACGCAAACCCACAAACATGCACAAAACCACACACATGAACACACACACACACACACAAAACATACCCACATGCCTGTGCGCTGACACACGAACACACAAGACCACACGCACACGGACACACAAACACAGGCATACTCATACATACACATACATGCGCAAACGCACAAACATGTACAAAAATACACACATACACACACACACACTCAAACCCACAAACATGCATACATACACGCACACGCACACACACGCATATGCACATATACACACACAGAAGGACAAATGCACAGGCACACACAAACACACACACACACACACACACACACACACACACACACACACACACACACACACACTCTGAAGAGTTTAATCAGTCATCCCTTCCCTGTCTATGATGTTCTTTGTTTTCCTCTATCTTGCCCAGGATTTTGAGTTATGTCACAGAAACACATTCAGGCCCAGATTTATCAGTGCACTTGAAAAATTACAGGCAGTATATTATAAGTAACACATACTAATACATTTGATATGCTCAAACACAAAGACGAATATGTCACGTTTAAACACATGGGGTCAAAATTATTTGCACTCAAAACAATCATGGTAAATAAAATCCTTGACTATGGAAAAGGCAAAAAAAGGCAATACATGGTAATTCACCTTCTCAAGTTTGGTATTGGGAACAAAAATACATTAAGGGTTAAACACACCTTGGCTTGATTAATTAAGGGCAACTAACTAAATTACAGACAAGCCAGAAAGAGGATGTGATAGCAAATTATACACATAGATAGAGAGGGAAGAAATAGTGACCCTGAGAATTATGCTTCAAAAATTTCAGCGACTGGTTGCATCATCAAGATGTCATCTCCATGGCAACAGACTTTTGGAAATGTGACATAAAAAAGCCCATACTGAGTGCAAAAAAACAAAACTATGACTGGTTGAGAGTGCTCGGTTCAGAGGAGGCTAAAACTGAACCCTTAGGCGATACACTCCTTTGGCGTATACACACGATCAACTTGCGCACACACCACCGGCAAGTACACACACTATCAGCATGTACACACACCATCGGCATGTATACACACCATCAGCCTGTACACATACTATCAGCGGGTATACACACTATCAACATGTACACACACCATCGGCATGTATACACACTATCAACATGTACACACACCATCGGCATGTATACATACTATCAGCATGTACACATACTATCAGCGGGTATACACACTATCAACATGTACACACACCATCGGCATGTATACACACTATCAACATGTACACACACCATCGGCATGTATACACACTATGAACATGTACACACACCATCGGCATGTATACATACTATCAGCATGTACAGACACCATTGGATTGTTCAGTGGTAAGGAGAGTGTGTGTAAGGAACAGCTACCCACTCCTAAGCTGCCAGTAGTCGAGGGCACTTGTTGAGATTGATGACAAAAGAAATTCCACTAACTGCCAGATTAAAATGTAAAGACAAAGATGGTCAAGTACATAACAAGGATTTCAGTGTGCATTTTGATGTATGCTGTCCTGAAGTAGAATCCTCCTCTGACCGAGTTTCAGCTTCCCAGTCGAGAAAAGCAGACTCCACGCAAAATTTGCGCGTGCTTGTTGGAATTCAATATTCCATTGATCTTTACTATTGCCCCGGGACCAATGGCAGCAAAAAAAATTCCTAAAACACCTCAAACGCACCCACATATTTGAGCGTAGGAATGATATGCCTTACCTCGTATGCGATCCTTTTTAGCTACAAAGCACGTAGGCGGATTTGACAGCCGAAAAATTCAATTTTGATCCCATGTCACTCAGTTAAAGCATTCTCTTAAAGTCAGAACTCTACTGATGTATGGAAAACTCCAGGCACCTCATTATCTTCCATATGTTCAGTCAGGCCTTTCTTCATAGCCCTTCACAACCCTTCCAAAACATTTGATGCGATAGACATAACATGTTATGGTTGTTTTTTATTCTTGGTCACTCAAAGTTGCAACCAGACAAAAC